CTCACATCTGGCACCCAGCACCCAAAACTTTGTGCCCAGCATCCCGCACCTGGCAGCCGGCACCCAAAAACCTCACATCTGGCACCCAGCACCCAAAACTTTGTGCCCAGCATCCCGCACCTGGCAGCCGGCACCCAAAAACCTCACATCTGGCACCCAGCACCCAAAACTTTGTGCCCAGCATCCCGCACCTGGCAGCCGGCACCCAAAAACCTCACATCTGGCACCCAGCACCCAAAACTTTGTGCCCAGCATCCCGCACCTGGCAGCCGGCACCCAAAAACCTCACATCTGGCACCCAGCACCCAAAACTTTGTGCCCAGCATCCCGCACCTGGCAGCCGGCACCCAAAAACCTCACATCTGGCACCCAAAACCTTGTGCCCAGCACCTCACACCTGGCAGTCGGCACCCAAAAATCTCACATCTGGCACCCAAAATCTTGCACCTAGCATCCTATGCCTTGCCCCCTGCACCCCACATCTGGCAGCCAGCACCCAAAACTTCCCACTAAGCACCCAAAATCTTGCACCTAGCACCCAAAACCTTGTCCCCATCACTCCACATCTGGCAGCTGGCACCCAAAATCTTGCACCCAGCACCCAAAATCTTCACCCAGCTCCCCACATCCTTGCCCCCAGCATGCCACATCTGGCAGCCAGCACCCAAAACTTCCCACTGAGCACCCAAAATCTTGCACCTAGCTCCCCACATTTTCCAGCCAGCACCCAAAAACTCCCACCTGGCACCCAAAACCTCCCACCCAGCTCCCCACATCTTGCACCCAGCACCCAAAACCTCACCCCCAGCATCCACCACCTCACCCCCCGCACCTCTTGTCGGAGGGGTAGAGCTCCACGGTGAGCACGTCGAGGGCGTTCCAGGAGGCGATGCTGACACCGCCAAAGAGGCAGAGCAGCGCGATCATGGCCGACTCGCTGTTGCCGAAGGAGAGGAAGAAGCAGCTGACGCAGGACATCACGCTGGAGCCGGCTGTGGTGGGACACGGGGACACGGTCAGGGATGGGAGAGGAGACGAGCATCCTCCCCACCTGCCGCGTCGAGGAAGGGGAAACTGAGGCAGGAGATCATAAACTCATAGAATGGGTTGGGTTGGGTTGCGTTGGGTTGGGTTGGGAGCAACCTTCAAGGGTCATCGGGTCCAGCGCCCTGCCATGGGCAGGGACGTCTTCAACCAGATCATCTTCAACCTTAGAACTTGGACCAGATGGTCCTTGAGGTCCTTTCCAACCTGGTATTCTATGAGGCAGCTCCAAGCCGCGTCCACCCTGACCTTGAACGTCTCCGGGGATGAGACACCACGGTTGTGATGGTTGCCCACCATGCCCCTGGGCAACCCATGCCCGCGCCTCACCGCCCGCAGCGTAACAAATTTCTTCTTTAACGCCCACCCAGCATGCGGAGGCGGCCGATCTTGTCCATGAGGAGAGCCGAGACGATGTTCCCGGGGAGGACGGCCAAGGTGCCCAAGAAGCTGACGAAGTAGATCATGTAGGCGTTGTTGTCGTCGCTGAAGTCCAGCTGGCAGCCCTCCTTGTTGTGCAGGAAGGTGCTGTTCACCACCCGGCTGTTGATGAACTTGTACTCAAAGAGATCTGGTGGGGTGGAGAAGGGGTTTGGTGGGGTCACCTCCATCTCCGTCACCCCCTTGGGGACCATCCTGACCCCCCCCTCCTACCTGTGTTGTAGAAGACGGTGGAGATGAAGGTGCAGTTCTTGAAGAAGGTGTTGCTGGAGGTGATGTCCTCGAAGTAGCACTCCTCAAAGAGCGAGTCCTCGAACGTCACCGACTTCATCTTCAGGCCGATGAACCTGGTGGGGTTGGATTTGGAAGAGCCCAGCTCATCACCTCCACTCACGCAACGAGCGGGCCCGGCCTCAGCACCCCCTGGGACGCACTTGTCGTTGAAGTACTCCCCGCCTTGGTGGATCTGGTTCTCCAGGGTGAAGTTGAAGGTGAAGTGCCGGACCTTCTCGCGGGTGAAGAGCTTGGTGCGCGAGGCGTACTCAATGTTCTGCAGGTGCTTTATCATGTCCGGGAACCAGACCGTCAGCCCGTAGTAGCTGCGTGGGGAGAGAGGGGCTGAGCCCGGGCGCCACGGTGCCCGTCCCGTCCCAGTGCTGCCCGTCCCGTCCCAGTCCTGTCCATCCCATCCCGGTGCTGCCCGTCCCGTCCCGGTGCTGCCCGTCCCGTCCCATCCCGGTGCTGCCCGCCCCATCCCGGCCCTGCCCGCCCTGTCCCGGTGCTGCCCCTCCCAT